GTCATGGCTGAGCAGGCGGCATCAGTGGGCTCTGGTGGCTCTGTCGTGCTGGCACTGAGCGAGACGCTCCGCCCGCGCATCACGCTCCCCGCCCGGAATCTCACACTGTCCGAGCTCCAGAGGCTGAAGCGGCAGTTCGTCACCGTGCACAAGAAGGCTATCACACTGGGCACGACGGAGAAGGGAGCGGTTGACTGGAGCGAGGAAAGCGTAGCGGAGAAGTTTTCCTCGTATCTCGAAGAGAACTTGAAGCCCTAGCTCCGAGAACGTGTGTGTGTGCTAAGTGCTTGGCGCAGGAACTGTATTCGCTGCCGGTGGTGACTTGTAGTGGTGAGGTAAGTTGAAGAACTACCTCAAGCCGCTTGATACGGGTGTGTCGATGGCAAATTCGAGTCGCCGCAAAAATCAAGTACGCTGTGTCAGTCCACGGTTGTCGTGGTGGCCGCAGCTTCGATCAGACAGTATGGGTAGAGATCATATCACCCGGCCTATGCAACTATCGGGCCATTCAATTGTGCAAATTGATCGGTTTGTTCCGTTGAGCTTGAGAACGCGCTTGTTCGGACGGAGTATTCAATCCGAGTGGGTACCTTGAGATGAGATTCCCTTCAACGTGCCAAGTTTACTGAGCCCAGTATACGGATGGTGACTGTTGAACAAGCTGACAGGCACTGATTTCTTGTGACACGAGTTAGTACATACGCTGCTAAATGATGCGCAATTCGTGGGTACAAGCAGCATGGAGCACGTAACAACCGGCAGGATCATAAGGTCAACGTCCATGCGAAAGATTCAATATTGCTGTAGGGTATCACCGATATTATTTATTATGATAAATACTCACGTCCGTGTCTCACTGCCCTGAACCACTCACGACATCACACGCCCCGGCCACCGCGTTCCCGCGCGATAGGCAAGAATAATTTCCAGAGGATTACCACATGCGTGTTGAGGCAGGGGGGAAGTCGTTCGCCATACGGAGCATAGACACTTGGCCCGACAAGCTCGACCACTGCGCCGGAACGTCAGCAAAGTCGTGGAGCAGAGAAGCAGAGAAGCAGACGCACTCCATTCCCGATGAACACCTGAGCCCTCTGCCCGATCAGCACGTCCACCGCTTGCTTCACATACTCCTGCTCTGGGTTCACGAGCAGCTCCCGGCTGTTTGTGACGCTGTCCCAGCTCCATGCACGCTGCAGCGCGCGCTCGAGGTCCGCCACCCATTCTCCAGGAGCGTTCGTCATGATGTAGGCATTGCGCAGACCGCGTCCGGCGTCGGTGTTCCGCACCTCTTCTATCTTCTTCACGATGTCGTCGATTTCGGGATAGCACCGGATACGGTACCGCTCTTCTTTCAGAGAAGGTGCCAAGTCCCTGGGAACGCCGTCCTCGTCTGGCATGGAGGGGAATGCGTTGTAGCCAAAAAACCGTGCTTGCCACTCTGCGATGCGCTTGCAGTGTCGAACAAAGTCCCCTCTCCGGATGTGTAGGACGAGCAAGCCAGGGATGACAGTGTAGCGCTGCGCATTGGATACGGTGTGTGGAAGCGAGGACAGGTACGGCTCGATCCCAGTCGAAGGCGCAAAGAGCTCGCGGTTCGTGTCGAAACCTAGCTCCACCAGCGAGGACCATCCAAATTCCGTCATTATGGGTGATTGCGAGAAGGACGGCCACACATCCAAGAGCCGTTTAGCGTCCTGCATAACCCTTCACCAGCCCTCAGTAATAGACAGTGAGTGGGCATACCGATATGCGCACCATAGTTCAAATACCTGCCGCGGGTTCTTCTCCACTTCCACACAGGGATCCTCTATCTTGTCGAGCAGCTCGACCCACTTTTCTACTAGGGATGCAGCGGTGGTCTCCACGTCACCGAAGGATTCTATCACATCTTCGACTTTAATCACCGTTGGTTCTGGACAGACCTGGTCCCAGTATTCTTTCATGATGGCCCGTGGGGCCTCGACGTCAGCGAGAAATGCGTCTCCGACGGCCGGACCTAACTTGACGGATTTAAAAAAACCGACAGCAAAATAACGACAGGTAGGCACGACCTTTGATCAAGGCTGTGAGCGGTATCCTTGTGGGGATAGGTTTCAGGTTGTATACTGTGTAGTCCGCGACACCCTCCTTCCAGGTGTAATTAGTAAACACGAGGCTTGATTGCTGCTGAGTACGTTGAGGACGAGATGAAAGAAAAACTCACGAACGATTAGCGCGATATGCTAAGTAAGAGTTCAAGAGATGCTCCTGCATGACATTTCCCCATCCATTTCCTGAACGCGAGAGAGTCACGAAGTGGCTCAGAGAGCCTGGACATTATCTCACCTTGCATGTGGTTGGCTAACCATAGATACTTTACCTGTGGTGGGTTGGAGGACGTTGATTGAAACTGGTTGTGTTGTGGCAACGCTAGCTCATGTTGATGGAATCTCGAGTAGAGAGGTGGTAGTTTTGACTCCTTGGAGAGAGAGCGGAGCAATGAAGCAGGAATTCCAACGAGACCTTTGAGAAACAACAAGACCCATAGTCCGATGAGGGCTGCGAAAATGAGAGCAACTCCAGCGATGATAGCGATTCTAGTATGACGTCGATTAAAGCCCGAAGTTTTCCTAGTGGATGGGAGGTCAGAACGTGACGGTAAAAGCTCGTAGTAAAAAGTCCTGAAGGGTCGCAGATGCGGCAAGTATCGCATGTTGTATCGGTTACTTGGTGGTCAGAACGGGGCGGGAAAATACACGCACCCGTACAGACAGTATATCACTCTAACAGCACCGAGTTTCCCAACAGCGGTGGCTCAAATCTTCGGTTGTCTCGGCATAGCCTTCTATTTTCAGCGTGATCGCAATCTCATATTCGATGCGCCGCTTGAGACCGTCCTGGAGACGACAAGTGGTGTCGGATAGCGGGTATCATGATCCGTTGACAAATGTTTCGAGGCTCATTGGTGTCCCCGCAGCGACACCGGAATGAAATGGATGCTGTACTTACGGCTGGTGAACACACCATGCTCGTCCGCAGCACATAGCAAGAGAAGGCGCCCAAAGGCTTCCCGGTTTGGTCTGGCAGAAGACACGCGGGCCAATGTCGCTGCATTGTCGTTACGGACGTTACTTATTTATAACACGATTGGGCCAAGAGTTAATTCACCTGCGCGGTTACCGACGATATAATGTCTGTGGACTTCACAGTTTAGTGTCATCTTGGACTGCCACATGCTTGTTCGAACACACCGCTACTGTTGCTACTTCAAGCTGGTGCTCGCAGCATGAAGCTTAAGCGGCTAAGAACCGTTAGGCGAGGCTTGAGCAGTGTGTGAGTTTGCCAAGCCTGACTCTGTACAGCCATGGCGTGGTTGAGTACAGACTTTGTTATCTCAAAGGATGAGCTAATTGAACGTGCGACCGTGCATGACCGGTGACGGCGGCGCTAATTTACTGACCTTGATTTGACTTGGTCGTGTCTTTCAAGCCCAGTGCTATTGAGATATCGACGATTTCTCAAACTACTCTTGCAAGAGTCTGGGAATATATATATATATATACGCAGCCTAGCACTTTGACAAGACCTTTTAGAGCAGGAACTTAGCGGCGGCGAGGATGGCAAGAGACTCGATACACTTGAGGTGTAGTGGGGCTGCCGTGAGCGAAGACTGAGTTGTGGTCCTGCAGGCAACGCACAACATTCAAGCTGCGTCAGTATAAGACTTGCATTATCTGCAGTCATTCTCATCATCCACTCACCATTTTCTTTAGAAAAGGCATCGGAAAGGCGCCAACTGAATTGAGTAAGTCTTTCCTCTCTTGTAAAATGGACCTTTCTCCACTGGAGAAATGGCCATTTCTCTGTTGTGATCCAGACAAGAGCGATCCATCAATGAGATGGGCATGGTGGCGTTCGGGTGACGCCCAGTGTTCCACTGATTCTAGATCTCGGAGGACACCCGGACCCCGGCTCAATCACTACTGGTGGCAGATTCCGCATCCACACCCTGACCAGATATTTCTGGGAGCTGTTTCAACGTACTACTTTCACTGGATCGCAAATAGTATTATCAAGTGGAACAGTTCAATGAGATATGAAGTGCAGCGGTTTATTCAGTTGGTGCGTCGTATATATCAATCAACGATGATAGAGATTGATTGAATGATTATGAACCAGTAACAGTTCCAGTTCCCGTGAAAAGACTGTATAACCAATATCTGATGTATTCTTGAGCTCGTATGGGTCTCACGAACGACAATGGTTCACGCGACGTCTGTCTGCAGAAGGTGGTGAGACACTGCAACCGATGCTTCTTCGTTACGAGCAAATCATTATGAAGTATTCTCCATCGATTGCATTGCTCCAGTTGTTGATCGAGCGGATGCGTAGTCAGAAACCGAAAATTTCCATTGACTGGGCTCAAAGTCCGATGTGTTTCAAGTGGGAACGCAAAGATCATCATGGAATGCGTCACGTCGGCATTATAGGTATTTCCGGCTTTGGTGGTCTTGAGGATGCGTTTGGACAACACTTCGTCGGGACTCGGGAGAGCAGATGCGTTGACTCATCTATCCGTATACTGCCCAGTTCCTAGCACAGAACCCACGATGGGTTCTCGATTGCAGAAAAACAATCTACTAACATATGAACTCAAAGCCACTAAGTCTTGGGTTCAAGATCGGCACAGTCACGCACGGTGCAGCAAATTTCTTCTGGATGTGATAGAGGTCCTTCATTCGACACCGCAGACATGTCTTTTTCTCGCTCGTAGCCATTCAGTCCTTCGCTTCGAGTTTGGTAGCTTGTTATATATCTACGATGCTTCTCAGAGCGTTATGTACTTCACTCTGACCGTCACTTCAATTTGGCTGGCTAGAAGATCTTTTCGCCCCCCTCTGAGTATGCTCCCAGAATTATTTCGGTAGCTTTCCGCAGCAGTCCAGTCGGTTTCTTGCTTTGAATTCTATTCTCTTCGAAGCCACATGGAAATCTAGGAATATCCGGACTCGGAAGCATGTTGGGGGATGGTCGCCTCATTGTCACGTGCGGTAGAACATTCCGGGCGCCAGTGGTTTCCAACAATCGCGTCCTTGGAGATTCACTGTGATTTCGCCTCGCCCGTCCCACATGGCAGTTTCCCTGCTATGCGCGCTCGTGAGTTGCCGTCGAGCACGAGGGGAGGAGGATCATAACTACGACAGCACACTTCTGCAAGATCTGCACCCAAAAAGGTCAAAATAAGAGAAGAGTAACGATTCTTCTGATAACTCACAGGATTTTGCGTAGACTTCGACTTGCCGGGATTATTGCTTGATTCGCGTGGTGGCAAATATCCCCATTTTTGGCCATGATTGGTACGCGCTCCATAGATGTGATGCAAACCTGCCTTGCGTATGAGAGTGTGAAGACTAGTCCACCTGCGCAGAAAAAACATAGTGCATGTGATCTGGGACTGCTGCTCCGAGTCAGTGGGGGCCAAGAATGGAGAAAAAGTAACTCCCACAGGCCTTGCCAGGACTCGAACCTGGGTTTTGAGAAATCGGCTATCAGAATCTCAAGTGATAAGACCGCTACACTACAAGGCCCATACATAACTTTTTGGATGCAAATTATATATGCTGATGTGACGGCCGTTCCGGCATCTTGCGCTCGGTCTGTATTGCAACTGTGTTGAGCCACCACTTTGTGAGTGCGCGAGCTGTGGTCGTGCAATCGCGTTCTCGACAACGAGAAGGATAGGTGAGTATCACGAAAGATATTCTCAGGCTCGTGTTACGTTGATTGTTCTGGCCGTCCGAAAGGCTTAGATAAGTAGCCGCTGCAAGCACAGGACGCTCTGCGGAGGGCTGTAACCGCGGTCATGCTCGATGACTGCGCTGAACCCTCCCCACATTCTCATCGCCCGTAATTCGCGAGGCCAAGGTGGTGCCAATCCTTCTGCGTCCCTCTCCTCGCCCGCAGAGACGCATGCTGCCGCTGCGGGCATCTTGGGCTCCGCCGGCTCCCCACCGCGCTACCTCGAAGAGGAATCCGACGAAATGCTGTCCGCCCTGAGCCTCGACAGCGACTTCGAGATAGATCCCACGTTTACCGAAACGAACCCCTTTCCCGGAACCATCAAGATTATCGTCGAATCTATTGCGTTCTGGTGAGTTTCTGTGCGATGCGCCTTCCGTTGAATAGCTGAATCTTAAGTCCCTGGCTGTTGCCGGCAAAGGGCGCACAAGGAAGTCCTTTACTTTGCTTCGTCATTCTTCCAGGCTGCACTTAGCGGCGCGTGGGCGGAGACGGGCAGGCCGCAGTCTGTGTCTTCCGTCATCACGATCTCCCAGCAGCCCACCGTTCGCGGTGGCCCGTCCAAACTAGAAGCATCGCCTCAAATGACATTTGCGCGCGCCGAATCAGACATGGACGTTGAAGATGTCTGCATTGACTCCGATCTCGACACGTTCGAGGATGGCCCGGTTGGTAGAGAAAATGCAAGGGAGACCAGTCTGACTAAGTTAGAGGGTGCGAGTGCGCCCTCGTCGAATGAAACGTCTCCGGTGAGGAGCAAGGGAAAACAAAAGTATGCGGTATCTCGGAGTCAGGCGAAGCACCATAGAAAGAAGAAAAGGCCTGACGCTGTAATCTTGCTGAAAGAGGAGAGGGTATGTGGCGATCCAACTCACCGCGCCCTCGTTCGTGAGCTCACATGAGCGCGCAGGCGAGCACTTTTCACGACTTCCTCAAATATGTCTATCCACAGTGGGTGTTCCATTCGTCCTTGAGCTCCCTTCTCTCTGATACGTAACTGTTAGTCTCGCCTGCACGATAACATGGAATAATGTGGAGGGGCTGCTCAATATCGCACACAGGTTACATGTGTCTGCGCTCGAGGAAGAGTGCCTCACGTTTTTGATCACACATGCCGCTGGGCGCCCGCTCAAGGCCATGAGTATCGCTGAGCTGTTTGAAAGAGAAGACCTCTACTGCGAAGCTAGCCGCTTTGTGCTCGATAACCCGGAAGGTTGGTCAGAGCAGGAGCTCAATTCGCTCAGCAAAGAGACCCTGCTGAAACTTGAGAAACGGTATCTTGTGATCGTGCGTATCACGTCCGCATACTGAAGCAAGATTTTGCTAGTCGTACCTGGTTCCTAGAGCGTGTACTCAAGCTCGGGCTGGTACAGGTCGCGAAGGAATACCAATGCGTCCGTCCTATGCGCTCGTTCTAGCCGCTGAGTCCCTCATGACCTTACAGTGCGCTACGTGCCCTGACCCGCCCACTTGTGCCCGGCTGCTCGAGGAGAAGTGGCAGCAAGCGTACCGTGCGGTAAACCGTTTCGGTGTGGATCGGATCTCGATGGCGCTCCCTTACATCGCTCGCTAACCATCCGTTTTCCTTTAGGCCCTTGCCAGCCATCCATGGTTTTTCGCTACCTACGCACGTTGGAGGGCATCAGCCCGCCACTATCGCTGACCCACCTGAGCTGCCAAACGACTGCAAAAGCGTTTATCGCAACATGTTTGTGTGTTTCATGAGGTTTCTGTTCTTGCTAACCGGCTTGTTGCCAGTATTTGACAGGATGTTTTCACTTGGTCTTCGCGGAAGTGGGACGGACATTGTGCCCTTAGGTACTCTAGGTACCCGGGTGGCTGCAGTATCTACTGGCCCGAGGCGCCATTTTCTCTTCTGCACTCTCAAGAACGAGCAGCCTCCACGCGGGAAGCGTTCGCGGGAGTTAGTTTAACGGGAGTTGGTGAGAGATTATATGTATTGTTTCATCTGTCTAGCTCACAAATGCTCCCGACGGGATGGATCTCAAATAGCTGTAATAATGTAGCAATGTGGCCAGTGTAGGGGAAAATGCAGGGGGATACATAATCATAAAGCGACAGGGTATGTTTGTGCGGTAATATATACGTAGCAGTTGTTTGGCAGTACAAGATGGGCGAGAATGAGCGGGTGGAAAAATCCGCTATATAACCGGCGAGATGCCAAAGACGCGACCAGGAACCTGACAGAAGGAACGAAGGTGAGGTACACGGATCAAAGCTTGATCTATGAGTTACAGAACGAATATGGAAGCATTAAAGATAGTGAGCCCAAATCCTTATGAATCGATCGAAGGAGGATGCTCGAACACGGTCAGCGCGTTCTCGATGAGCCATTCTACGCAGATGGTGGTATCTCCCATGTCTCCGAACTCGGTGACGGAGTCCCCTGATCTCATCAGAGTGGCTGCATAAAGAAATGTAAGTGGTAGATCTAATCTGTCAGACGAAAGACTTACGTCCAAAGACAACGCCTAAGTTTCGGGCATGCATGAGATTTTCGTCGCTGTGTTGACTCACTCTAATAGACGGTGTCAGTGTACGTGTAAAAACGACCTTGTCAACCTACCTGCTCAGGTGCAGCATCAATGCACGAGCTGTGAAATAATGCTCTTTTGGCAGCTCGTTTACGACCGAGATGAGCGCTTCGTGCCTCGCCGCAGGGTCCCGAATGCCCACCGCGGCAGTGAACTTAGAGTGAAGTGTGTATGTGAGCAGCGGGTTCGGAAGGGACCTGAAGTAAGACTTGAGGACAGAGGTCACACTGGAGATGTCGTTGAACCGCTCGGTATCCAACAGATCAAACGAGTGATAATCTCCGCGTTCAAAAAGTTGCGTAATCAACTTGGATTGGCCCGAGCCTCCAGTCTTCCGATATACACCTTCCAAATCCAGTGCTAATGGAATCAAGCAAGTCAGTGTCAGTGACAATGCCTGCACGGTTGACAAATACGCCTACCAAGGGCATCAACAGCCTCAATGCATTTTTCAACGATGATGGGGATAAGACGTGGGCCATCTTTCGACTCAGCCCGGACTTGCTCGATCAGATCGCGTCCGAACATGGAGGGGGCTAATAGCGTAATGTCAGATTATGTTCGTAAAACTAGCAAGTCACCACGAACGTAGAGGTGGTGCAGGCAATGAATCTTCGCGGCCATGCTGAGGAGTGCATGACTGATGAACTTGCTGCATACATCGTGTGTGTACGGCGATGCTACAATCTATTCATAACATCAGCTCGTGCCCAGATCGAAAACAAGCCAATGGGTAGACTTACTTGTACACCGCAGCTGAGACCCCCACATCTTGTCGCTACAGTGATCGCATCGCGCAGGACGCAGTACACTGATCTGATGAAAGGCGTGCTCTGACCGACCTTTAGGTTTGGAATTATCAGACCAAAGCGCATGGACATTTTCTTTCGGTGTTCGATGTCCGGCCCACTTCATGAACTTCCCCGGCTTGAATTGGGGTCCTGGAGCGTCTATATGCTCCGTTTTGGATACTTTAACGAACTTCGACTCTCCTGACTCTTCGGTCAATGCAATTGTCGACGACGTCACAGAGGACGAGAAGTTCTGTATATGCCTAGACTTGTCGTAGGTAGTATCAGATTCCTCTTGGGAGCCATTCTCGTGTTTGGAGGCATCCAGGCCAGCAGCCTCCAATCGACGCACATACTGAGCGTTCAACTGAGCGAGTTCCTCGTTACGTGCGTTCAGAACCGTCGTTTCCTCTAAGAAAGCATCCCGAGACGCCTTCAGCTCTGTAATCTCTCGCAGTAATGCCTCACGCTGTTCTGTAAGGGGTAGAAGCTCATGCTGATATTGGCTTTTGATGTTGTCAAACCGCATAGACAGGGCTCGAGTAACGGCGACGGCACCGTCTTCACTATTCACAGCAGTGCTTGAACTGAAAAAAGGGGTTTTTAGAACTCGTCAGCAGTCGAGTGACAATGATGTTACCTTTTGGATGCTGATAGCTGCTCTACCTCTGCGAAAGCCAAGTCCCGTTCTACCTTGAGTTTAGAAAGCGATTCTCCTAAGCTCGAAAGATTGTTGCTCAACTCTTGCGACAGCTGTTTTTGGGCTTCTTGACGCTTAGTATCGGCAGAGATGGCCGAAAGCCTGACCGCTTGACCTGACAACAATACTCGCAAACGAGTGACTTCCGCCTCAGCATCCCGCCGGGCTTTCAGTTCTCGGTCGTACTCTACCTGCGCGACCGTAAGTCCGTCCATGTACTGCTGACTTGTTCTCTGGTGGCATATCAATCAACCGTGCGTCGCGGACACCGAGGCGTACAAACGCACCTTCATTCCATCAAGCCTGTACCGCAGTGTACTGCTTTCGTCCTGATGTTGGTCGAGTAATCTCAACAAGGTTTGCGCAAGATCCATTTCAAGGGTAACATGCGTAGATTGATGTTCCGCTGCGAAAAAAACTTGGTTTTCCAGCTGTCGCCTGGACTCTGGTAGATCAATGCGAGCGGTTTCTGGACTATTGTTATCGGCTGAGGTTACGGTGATGCGCGCCCTACTTTGCACAAGTGAACCAAGGGAATCTCGGCGTTCAGACGCAGTGTCCGAAGAAAGCCCCTGGTGCGCAACGGAAGACTGGGGAGAAATGGGAGATTGAATAACGGAAGGATTGGAAGATACGTCATTCGATACCCTCCTCGACCCTTCCTTGTTACTATCCCAACTGGCTCTGGTTGTAGGCACGGCGGGGAATTTCGCAAAGATGTCTTCGTTGAGCGTTGACGAGACGGAATCTAGCGTCGTCAAAGAGTCATTAATGTTCGCGGACATTCTACGTGAACGAATGTCATCCGATCCCTTGACAGGAGTCTCGTCGACGTGAGTATCAGATGTATCTGTGATGGTAATGGCGCTCCTTGGTGTCATAGGCTGCATAGAATCCGTTTCTGACACAGCAAAAGAAGCAGGAGAGATGACACTAAAGTCCAGCTTCCGCCCACCATCCTCTGTAGCCTCTGCAAGTTGCTCTAACTTCAAAACATTGCCACCTACTGACTTCAGAAGCTCCGAGAAATCCGTGCCACCCATTGAGATCCGTATAGGCGGGAGAGCAGGAGCAATAAAAGTCGCGTGAGATGTCCGTTCCACCGGCGAGGACTCTGGTGAATAAGAATGACCATCTTCACTATCTATATGGCTCATTTCAGAGGAATCTCGGCTGACATCCGCTGTGTCCAGTCGTAGAATTGGAGGACGGGCACTAGACTTGGCGGTTCCAGGATCTTTGGGCGGTAAGGCAGGGGGCGGGTCATGATAATGCTCAAGCACTTCGGCCATTGCATCATTCTCTGATTCAGCTTCGGTATCCGTCTCACTTTCAATTCCGTGTGGAACATCGACCCGATGAGAAGGCGAAGTTGGTGTATTGGCATTCGATGCGCGAGTTGGCAGTTCTAGTTCGGGGCCCGATGTACTTGACGATTTGCTGTTCCGGAGTGGACGCACCGAGTGCGTTGTTGAATGGACCCTGTTGTCAAATGACTTCTGCGCTAGAACTTTGTTGCCGAAAGGCAGATTGAGACTTGGCGGACGATGGCCATCCGCTCCAAGCCGTCGATGGTCTTTCCGAGCTGATTCATGGCTGTAGCCAGGAGACGGACTCTGCGAAGAGGGTTGATTGGACCTTTCTGCACGACTGACAGGACGCGAGGAGAGTCGATCTTGAGCAGAATGAGGTCGAGTGGGTGTTTGTTCCAACTCTTGAACATGTAAGGGAAGATGGGCGGTGGATGATCCTGACCTGGAACGTTCGACCTGTTGACTGTCGAAAGGCGTTGGGCCGCGTAGGGAGGATGGCGTTGAGGGACTGGATGACGAAGAGAAACGAGAGAGATTAGGGATCTCTGTGTTATCAGCCATAGCAGGTGGTGAGATTGTCAGTCCATTGGAGAAATAATCTCGCCGAGGAGAGGACGGGTGAGGCGATTCACGCGCTTCCGCTGGTACTGAGGCAGGAGAGACGGAATCTGGAATAGGTGATGTCAAGGTACTGCTGAAAGCATGGGCCGTGACAGGATTTATTGAGCGCCGCTTGTCCTTACGGGATGTCTCCCCGCTGGGTACAGTGAGGCCTCCAGTGCCAAGAGTGCTGGTGCTGCTCCCGCCGCCAGCAACATTCAAGGAATATATGCTGGGACTAGGTCGTAGTTGAAAGTTTGATGGGCGAGCTCCACCATCAAAGCTCTTCCTCGTTTGCAAGGGCCTCTCCGAACCGTTGGACATGTTTGGCACGTTCAAAGAATCCATGCGCGTAGTCGGATGCTGCACCCCATGGGCCTGGTCTACAGCCAGCGAAGACGAGTCTATGGAAGCGGCACGTGGGGAGGGCGGAGGGAGGTCCGTAGTTGGGATCATCACAGATTTCTTGGAAATCGACAGCGGCGCAATTGACGAGTCTCGAGTCGTAGTGATAGATGGCATCTGTGCATGGCCTGGCCTGTCCGCGACGATGGACGCAGCTCCCTTCTGGGAAGCATTGGACGTTGGTGGCATGCCATTGGTAGAGGAAGCACTAACTGGCCCTGTAGCTGAACGCTCCGAGAGTGACTGACCTTCAGACGGTAATCTCTTTGGCGCTGGCGACTGAGAGTTTCTCGACTAACGCATAATAAGAATGAAGACTGTTGTTCATAAGCATAAACTCTTACTCTGGGCGATTGCTGCGGAAGTACCCCATCCTCTCGCAATTTATGTATATCAGCCAGAACAGGTAAAGCGGCAGCGGCTCTCTCTCTCTCCCGTTCCCTTTCCTTCTCCCTTTCTCGCTGTCGTTGCGCATGACGTCGACTTCGCGCGACACGCTCGTTGTGACAATTCATGCAGTATATCCCCTGGCTCGTCTTGGCGAAAACCAGCTCGTCGATTCGATTCTTGCATACTTTGCATTTGAAACAATGCGCGTGATAAGAGTCGTCGCCTGTCATGATTGCCTCGTCTAGAATGGGCTGTTTGCAAATATTGCAGCTGTATGAGCAATTTGCGCAAATAGGAGAACCGTCTGACAACAGCAGGAGGTTGGTATCTGCAGAGACCTGGTTCCCACACTTGGCGCATTTGAAGCAATCGACGTGAAAGAAAGATTGGCTGTATAAAAGGAAACAAGTTCAGCTGGGCTACCCCCAATACCACAGGACATAGGAGCCAAAAGAAGTGCTCAACCATCGAGTACGACGAAGTGTGCACCCCGTGTGCGACAGTATCTAACATGATAACAGCGAGTAAAAACTCACCCGAATGCCACTACCACTCCTCCATTCTCATCCACGACAGACTTCTTACATCCGGGGCAAATACGGTTCTCGGTGAGCAGGGCCGGATCAGCAGCAGGGCTACCAGAGATATCGAGGCGAGGATCATTGGAGATGTTGGGCATGGGAGCTGCGTTAGATTGTGAAGCCGCTCGTATACGCTGCGACTAGGAGGCTGAATGGGTGCGAAGAAGCTGAATTTGTCGACCAGAGCTGGTCGATCCGCACGTTGTGGTGTAACCAAGAGATTGCTGCACGCCCTGCGCCAGAGTAGGATGAAATTTATCCAGAGAGACAAGACCTAGAGAATGACCAAATACGAGTGAAAGGGTAAATCGCACAAAGAAGGGCTTTCCGGAGCCTCCCAGGGACGTCGAGGACAACGAGCTGGAACATTGACTGGTGACTACGCGAGCGCATCAACCCTCTGATGTGCACGTGACACACTCGTCCACATGCGGAAATCACCGGCCCCGAACCCGACACGATCGAGTAGCCGGCAGCGCACTTTGATTTCGACCGGTCGGACCAGTACTTAGTACGTGACGGTAACCAAATCGCGAAATTGAAACATCGCCGTACAGAAGAATCAGCCGGACCCAGATTTCCAAGACTCGGCTATCCACCACTTCAATGTTATTGTAAACATTTTCATCCAGGACATTCCAGGAACCCAGGCACCACATGCCAGCGCACTCAATAGAACTTTTGATCACCATCAGAATCAGACAGCTCTTCTCTAAATCTCCAACTTCCTATTCGTGTAGTTGAATTGCCAACAAGTGCACAAAATGGCCACTCTTCGCGATAAATTTAAATCATTTAGTCGGAATACGTATAGTAAAGGCATTCTTAACAGCGTTCCAGAAGCACGCAGCCAACACACTCTCGCTCAGACCATCTGGAGGGCGATGGTGGTGAGGAGGTTGGTCTGCTCCAATCGGTAAGTATCAGAAGTGATGTTAAAGGTCGGCACAGGGTCGGTGAACGTAAAGAGTGGGGGAGCATCCGCAGACGAGTTCCACAAGGGCCAGTGGAAGCCAGACAGGTGGCTGATATTAGCAGGAAGATCAGCCGGCGCATTGGGATCCAAGTTCGTTGCGAAATTAACTGGACAGCCAGATTATAAGTGCTAATCCACAGCTTGCAAGATGTTTGGATCCAACGTACTGATCGCATCCATTCCAATGTAATCCACATCCGTGAAAAACTCAGGAAGATCAGACGAGTGGTAGGACCCAAGGTAAGGATAGTTATCACCACGAGAGTAGCCTTATGAAAACAACCATCAGCGCTGTGATAGTGCCAACAAGCTACAATCCACTCACGGTAAGCCCAGGTGTTCTGGCTCTTAGAAGCAATGCCCAAAGTGAAGCGACGAGGGGCTTGGAACTCCCAGTCACCTTGGAATGCAGCAATGCGCTTGTATTGAGGACTAGCGAAAAACGTCAAGACCCTAGCCATTCGATCAAGTGTAACATCCACTTACGACAAGGTATAGTTGTTACCTGTGCCGAAGGGAGAGCCCTGAAATTTTATTGTCAATTTAGAACTGCACGCAACGCAGCGCACAAATACGTACATCAGCGGGATCCTGCGGGTAGGCCTCTGCAATGGCCTGAAGTTGTTCATCTGTGGCACCAGATACAAAACTACAACATGTCGATCAATACATAGCAGGATTCAGAGTTGAATATAGACATACAATGTCTGAATATATGTGAGGAATTCGGCGTCGGTCCTGGTGTTAATTTAAATCGTTAGCAACCGTTGGACACAACGCAGGAAAAATACGAACGTCACATTAACGCTCGTTAACGAAAACAAAGTGCCTTCGTCATCGCAATCACCCGTTAACAACGGAATATGCGCATAGAGACCAAGTTGGTAGGATTTCTGAGGACTACGAGAGAACAAGTCGTTGTCGATGCGCGGGACCCAGGCGAAGTCCAAGCTCTGATAATCGTAGACATTGGGTGTCAATTGGACTGCATCGATCAATGCTTCATATGGTGCGTAGCGTAAGCACTCTAATGTGTCTTCTGCATCAGTGCAGTTCGTATTCTCAACGAGAATATCATAGTACGGCTGTCCACCGGACATCGCAGGCAATGGAGTCGTAGATCCTGATTCCTGCAAGATAAGACATTAAAAGAGCCACCACTTCCCACACACGTCGTATACATACCATAATTGCCGCCCTAAAAAGACCATGGGTATCGCCGTTGTCAATAACGAGCTGAAGAGCGACCGCAAGAGACCCAGAACTATCGCCCCAGCTAATATCCACTTTTAAGACATGGACACACAGACCGTCACGCATGAAACTTACAGGGTCACCTTCGTAGGATCTCCTCCGAAGCCACGGATGTTGCTGCGAACCCACTCCATCGCGAAACGCTCTGCAATACAATCAATTTGAACTCACGAAGTGACTGAGTCAATGCTTCACGTACGATCTCTCATTCCAATGTTCGTTAGCCCGGCATCTTGCACCTCTTGGCTGGCCAGGAAGCCGAATGCTATCAAAATCGTCATTAGTAATGATATTCCCCTAAGGACAACTTAAATTACCATTCAGACGATAATTGTGCGATACAAAGATGACTGGCTCGCCCAACGCCACCGATCGGTCAACAATGTTTTGACCGGCATAAAGAGAGGAATCTCCGGACGCGAAGGCACCTGGGAATATTATAACTACAGCGTCCAGTGAACTCATGCAAACTCGAGCTTACCCCGTTCGACCCACTACGTATCGCTGAATCAGGGCGCAAACAGCGATCATATGAATGTGACTCACGAAGATTACTGGAAGGTTGTCCTCCGCTGTAAAGCCAGCGGGCGTGTAGACGTTAATGAACATGCCTAAAGTGGAGCGTTAATGCTAACGCCAATTTCAAAAACGTTGAGAACTCACAATCCTCAGAAGCCGTCCCATTGTACCCCGAGATCTCAATCTCGAATGGCAATATTTGATGTAATGTAGTCTTCTGTTGTGGACACGCCGAGCCGAACTGCGTGGCCTGCCTCACACCAGCGAAGGGAACTGGTAGCTGAGGAGGTTCAAAGCGAAGTGCACCAATTCTGCAGAGAGTCAACAATTATGCCCGAAAACTGCTGTGTGAATGCTTACGGGGGACTCGCATAGGGCATACCGAGGAACATGGTGGTGTTCCCCGTTACGGTCCCTTGGAAAGACCCATATGAGAGATCGACGACGGGTTTCCCTTCCGTCGCAGGAGCGCCTAGGGCGAGGCGCGCGGCGAGAACGGAGAACAAAGCTACTCGGCGCAACATCTTCACTTGTGTGCAAGTAACACTCGACTCGAAACGAATGTGCACGACGAGTCTGCTGGCGCATACCTGGCTTATATACTGCTAAGAGCATCCCCATCCGAGGGTCTCACGAAAGGAATTCCGAACACACTGGCGCGTATAATGCGGCGTCAACCGATGCCCTTCGCTAAACCCATGGAGCAAGGGATATTGCCGTATACAGAAGCGTCCGAGACAGGTACCATATGAGACGTACCTTTCTGCATAGGAATAACTCCGTTTGGACGCGACAATGCCGCGCAGATTGATTCAAACCCCTCATATTCACTCCACTCCTGAACTACCTTGAGAGTCGTACAGGAATATTTCAGGGGACGATAAGCTATATCATGTCCCATTACACACAGGATCATATCCTGGGGTGTCACGATCACAACTTGGACTTGACAAGGTATTGAGTGGGAACCATCGTCGAGGCAACACGCCACAAAGTTGGATGGACAGTGAGGGAAACTTTGGACAGACCTAATGGAGGTTCACGCATATCAGTTCATCCGCTCTCACTTGCTTGTAGCGATGGCATTCATTGGCATATTCGGAGTACCGTTGGCTTGCGCGATGCTGATGTCTTGGTAAACACAGCCTGACACGAGCAGGGCAACGTGCAAGAGCTACTGGGGGTGCTGTCACAAGCGCAAGCCAAGGCTTCATGGCAGAACTGAATTACGAGAGTCACATACCCAGAGTAAGGGAGTCTGCGGCAGCCCCAGATGGTATCAAAACCAGGCTCTGGGGTAATATGTCATCGCTGATACTGACCTCTTCAATTGTGCTATTTCTCCAAGACTCGGAGTGGTTGAAAATTACGTGAAAAAAACCGACATGGCACATTACGAGAATCTGGAGATATAATTTTGAGAGCTTGAAGGGTCGACGTGAGCGAGTAAGCAGGGCCGAACAACCAAGCACTGGCATTATCGTCAACCCCGTCGGCCCGGATCCGGGCGAATTCGGGACGAGACATGTGATGAGCTAAATAGAGGCGGACGACCTTCGGCAGTGACCATGTTCCTTGAAGACTCGGCTTTGAATTGAGTCAACGACCGCTGGGGATGATAATCATGACATGCACGATAGGTTCGACAGCCCCTCTTACGTGGACGGTTCTGGTACGAGACTAACATGCACGACGTACTCTCGTCTCAAGGTTTGAAGCTGATCAGAAAAGGCATGTCCTGCTTTGTAACATCCAGTAATTGTCGTGTGCATGCCTAAGATTTTCTCTTCTTTTCTATTTGCAGCCTGACCGAACGACCTACCAGGATTATCGTCTGCATGTGTAAGATTTTTGCTTCCATTTCATTTGCAGGGCAACCACTGCATTTACGCATAACCACCACACGTGGTGCAATGGAATTTATGTCATCTAGATTTGACACAAGCCCTTTCTACAGCGGTACCGTGGTACCGTCGTGGCTATAGAGCTTGATTGCATTCTCGCACTTCGAATCTTGTATGACTTTCAGACAATCCGTTGCGGACTGATCCACCGAGATTTTACGTCGTTCGGGCAGGTGATCCTTCATCCAGTCGGTGAGTTCATCGCCCATGTCTGTTTCAACCCACCCTAATGTAGTCGGAATTCAGAAAGAATACCTCGATGAGACTCGTAGTAGCTCACCAGGATGAATCAAGACAGTAGCAATTCCTTCTTGCTTTAATACTGGGGCCCATCTTCGGGCAATACTGTTTAGGCAACCATATCAGCTTTTATCCCTGACCTGACATCAGGAAGGACCAAGAACTTACAAGTTTAGTGCCGCTTTAGTAGTTGAGTATGTGACCGAGAGCGCGCCGAAGTTCGGAGCAAGCTCGAGTGATCCAAGTCTTGAGGTAATGAATACCACTTTCCTTCCCTTTCCCTTACGGACCAGGGGCAAGAACGCCCTCACTACTCGCACTGGAGCGATGGTATTGATGCGAAGCTCCTCTTCGAAAACTTCTAGATCACTAATGGATGTACACCAGGATTAGTTATGTCTGACAATAAAGATATATGAATTTCCCTACATCGTGTCGAATGTCTCTCCACTCTGCAGTGCAACCCCGGCGTTGCTGACCAGGTAATCAAGTCCATTGGGAAGCAGCATGGATGCTCTTTCAGCAGCAGCAGTAGTGCTAGCAGGATCAGCGTAATCCAGGATGAGGGTTGTAAGTCTTTCGTCCCCGTATTTAGTCCTTAAACTTTGGAGGTCCTCTGAGCGATTCGGATGACGCGCGGCAGCAATCACGAAATTACTCGGATTCTGGAGCTGTATGGCAAGATCCAGGGTAAGTATACTCAATGACGTGTCCGAGAGACTGCGACTAACCAATTTCTCGACCATAGCAAGACCGATGCCCCTGCTGGCGCCTGTTACGAGGTAAGATGTCATTCCGTTCTAATGATTGGAGGGATTGTGGGAGGAGTTGTACTCAAATGTTCAACGTGGGCCATTTTATATACTCAAGGCATGGAGCCGACGACCCCTGTCATGGCCTTGGCGTATCAGCAGGAGCCCGAAAGGCTCGGGGAGGTTCTGTGAACGATCATTATGGGTTCCAATGGTAACCGGTAAGTACACCGCATTCGTGCCCATATCATGTTGGGAGGAGTACGATTACGGAAAAATTAGTGAGAGGACAATATAGTGGGGAATGCGCATCGCAATTTTACAAGCGTCAAGGGTATGACGTTTTCTTCCAGAACTCCGAGCCTGTAGGGATCACTCAGCACCTTCGGGCAAGCCTGAACAGCTGAAATGTGCCAAGGGACTACAGAAGCAGGCGTTCACTTTTTACCATCTCTGTTATTATGGTCATCATCCGCAGGTACTTCGAATTCCTGCAGGAGCTTGGACGTCTGTAATACGCGAACGATGTTGAAATTATAGTTCGGTCGAGAGCGAAGTCAGTCGCGATCGCTCACTTGCTGAGCGGCCATAGAATGACTCTTAGTTACTTTGAGATTACTGTATGACAACTGAGACAGCAAACGCATTTATTAAATGAAAGCATTTAATTGTACGCTGAAACTCCTTGTGATGCGATTTACCAAGGTTGCGTCGTTCCGTCATAGTTGTAGTACTTGATGGCCTTCTCAACCTGAGCATCCTTGAACACCTTCAGGCACCCTTTTACAGATTCATCGACCGATATCTTCGACATCCCAGGGAAATGATCTGCGATCCACTCATTGATCTCATTGCCCAAATCCGTGTCGACCCAGCCTGACAGCCGTTAAATTTAATCAGTGCACACATCTTGGCAAGTACCTTGCGCAGACTCACCAGGGTGAATAAGAATCGTAGCAATACCTTCTTCTGCGAGCACAGGAGCCCATCTGCGTGCAATTCTGAGCAGAGAAACGCGTCAATATTCTTCTCGTCTCGTAACGGTCATGATTGACGTCGTGACTCACATGTTCAACGCGGTCTTCGTGGCAGAGTAAGTGATCGCGAGAGTGGTGAAAACGGGAGCCTTCTCGAGCGAGCCAAGCTCAGACGTGACGAGCACAATCTTCTTCTCCTTTCCCCTTTTGACTAGAGGAAGGAAAGCGCGCACAACCTGGACGGGCGCCACTGCGTTTATACGGAGTTCCTCTTCGAAAACATTCACATCGCTGAGTGGCATGTTAACCGGCTCTCTTCAAGTAGTTTGGGCAGACCACGTACATGTCCTCAAATCCTATGGGACTCTGCAATGCAGCTCCTGCATTACTGATGAGGTAGTCAAGTCCATCAGGGAGCACAGCAGCTGCCTGTTTGGCAGCCTCATCGATACTAGCGAAGTTGGCATAGTCAATCACAATCAGCGCCAGCCGGTCCTTGTATCTCGCAGACAACTCCTGGAGGCCTTTGGACTGCTTCGGGCTGCGTGCGGCGGCAACAACGAAGGTGTCAGGCTGCTCGAGCTAGACACCGCAACTCTTGTCAGTACTCCAATGACAAATCAATACTCAGATTAAAGTCCACTCACTAGCGCAGCAACCATGGCAAGGCCGATGCCACGGCTAGCTCCTGTGATAAGGTAAGAAGGCATGCTAGAATCTGATTGTTTCGAGGGGTTGTAGGGGAATTGTGGTTTGGAGGAAACAACGGCGTACTGTCTGCCATTTTATATCTCCAAAGCCCGCTCATCGCCTAGAGACAGAGCTTGGGTCGCTCTGTCAGTCACGCAGTATATTCCGGCATGGCCGGTGTATCCAGATGCGTCGGGGCATGTCAGCCCAGATGAGAACGTACGTGGCCAATGTACGAGGCGTAGAGGTCAGTATACGCTGGGCGCTCGGCGGAGCAATGTTCGATCACCTTCCATGTTTGTGCAAGGTCATCGGCGAGTTAACCAATGAGAAAGACATCCGTCAGAACCCCGTAAAGCTCGGGCTGACCAAAAGCTTCCATCTTAGTTAGGAGCTTCGGTCAAAATCACCGATTCATTCGTCGCCGAGTGGTACCCGACCAATCACTCAGCGTTGGCTGTGGCTTAAATGAGTCTTGCCCCGCATAGCAGAATTTAATGAAAACGTAAATCGCCAGTGACGGGATTTACTACTGTTCCAGCAATAACAGTGACTCTTACCCGTATTGCACCACAGTCGAGTCAAACTGTATACATAGCGCTATAGCTTCCGCCAAGGGAACACTGTCAAATGACCGAGGTCGACCGACGACATCAAAGCCTCGACCTGTCCACAGTATTCAGTACGCGATCAATAATCTCAGTCATCGCCAAAACCGCCTCCTCCTCCAGAGTACGTCCAACAATCTGTAGTCCAACCGGCGCATTCAAGAAAGTGGAAGGCTCGTCTGTGAACCCCGGTGTCAATCTAGCGCTGGCCTAGTAGATCCACCGAAGATCGATCATAAGCACTCACACATCTCATAATAGATCTTATCCAAAGGACTCATGAAGTCGTGCTCGGGCTGCTTGACGTCCACAATAGGATTGACTTTGGTGACCGGGAACACAGCGGCGACATGGTCCAATGCATTCCACACCCGCGTATAGTTCGAGTACCTGTGAAAACCCGTCTGTTTATTCTTCCCTAGTTCTAGCATCGGGACGCCTGTTTACCTATTCATTCCATGCGGAGGAGCCGCGCAGGGCGCAGCTGGGCAAATAATGGCATCAATAGGCCGTCCTGTACCTGTTGCTTCCGCTGAGTTTTGCCATAAGTCAAGATACTGCTTGCGCACGTCGAGCAGCTTCTTGTTAAGCTGCCACAAGTCGTATGAAGATATCCCATCGCCGCTGGCAAAAAATGAAGTGCCAGCAGTGTTCTCATCGAGCCCCATCGATGCAAGAATCGGCTCGCCGCTTGTTGAGGTCACAGTGCGAAGCTCCTCGCCGGAACCGGCCCTCCAGATGTTGTTCTACAAGTAACAATGCGGGTTTAGTGCTGCGTATAAGATGACTGAATGGGGACTGACGATCAGATTCCCAATTTCCAGATGTTGGTGAGGTTGCCAGTCGATCACTTTATGCCTTGGACTTAGCCAAAGCACCTGCTATAAAATAGTACAGCGTACTCACCTCGATGTCCGGCAGCTAGCAAGGCATCCTTAGTCATCTTCAGAGCTCTGACAATCGGTGGATGTGGGGCTATCACGCCGTCGTTCCACATGATAGCAAAACAGAGGGACTTTCCGGCGCCATGATTGACGAGGGCGTATTCTTCCTCGTTCCAGGCCTTCGGTACAACGAGAGGATCTTTCAACCATGGCTTTCCCCCTATCGCGGCTCTCATGAATGTTATAATCCCGTCTAGGCTGGCAGAAATTGGACCAACGGCGGAACGCACAGAGTGCAGTCCCGCGAGGGAAGAGCTAACACCGTGAGAAGGAAGACGATCGGCCGAGGGCTTGAAGCCATAGAGACCGTTGAAAGCAGCCGGTATTCGCACAGAACTAATGGACATGAGCTAGCGACGATGCAGGGTTATGTATCCATACCCTCCAAGATCAGTGCCCAGTCCGAACGGACTTCCTCTCATAGCAATGAGGGCACACTCGCCACCGGAAGAACCACCGGCTGTCAGTGTACGATTGGCGGGGTTTACTGTTCTTCCGAATATGAGATTGTTGGTCTCGATCCACTGCAACGCATACATTCACATGTCAACTTGCAGAACTGGAAAAATTCCGCATACCAACAGGGTTTGGGGCAAATTGGTTTTGACGAAGGGCACAGCGCCGCATTCGTACAAAATGTCCACCATTGGTGCATTGTGCTTCGCATGCCGCCCAATCCACGAGGCATACCCTGGGGCCATAGTGTGAGTGTGCTCGGAGTAGCGAATAACATATTCCTAACCCATGGTGGTCTCTATTCCAGAGATGGAAAACTGGTCCTTGAGGGACACAGGCAGGCCATGCAATGGGCCTGCTGTCTTGCCAGTCGCCTTTAGCTGCGCATCCAATTCGGCCGCCCGGGCAAGGGCTTTCTCGATAAATATCTCAGTGAGGCAATTCACCTAACAAACGAAACAATTATGAACCTCGCGCAAATCGACAAAATCAGCCGCATACCACTTGGTGGGCAATGATTGCTCTCTTGTAGAAGGCTTGAGTGACCTCAAGAGAAGACCATTCACCGGTAGCGAGCCTGCGTAGCAGCGTAGTGACGTCCACCGTACTCGTGATAGCTAGTTCTCGATTCGAGAAAAGACCACATCGCTCGGGTACGGCGGTCACATCGAGGACGGCGCCGTCAGGTATATCGATCAGCCAATCCTTGGGTATAGCATCTCGTTGGCGCTTTTTCTTGTCCGCAATGAGCTCCTGCCACACATGCGCCATGATGGCAGGAATGAGAAACGGGAGTTGCTCGCATTTTCACAGAGCACCTGAAGCAGTCTGTCGAGTCGGAGTCAGCAAAGTGCGAATCGATTCTCATGGCCTCTGCCGCCTGACCGCCTTTCTCTACACGAATCGCGATCACGTGGAACGTGTCATACGTGAGCCCACAAGTTTTTGTTTACATGATGTTCGTAGGACTGAAAGTCGTAATGTAGAGCGCAACGGCAAAGTCATCAAGATGCATAGTACCGAATGCAATAAATAACGAGAGAATATCGTGTTTTGTGCAGCAAGGTGATCAAATTCTTGACGAGGGAAACCAAGGTCAGAGTACCATAGAGAGGAAAGTCATTATAACGCAGGCGTACGTGTGGGTTACGGAGCAAATCGAGAGGCAAACGAAGAAGAAAGACATGGTAGAGTCGAGCAAGAAGAGAGTATCAAGACGAAGTGGAAAGTGAAATCTGCAACACAAGGATCGTGGACGCACGGTAAACGACAGACACATGCACAACATTATAGCAAGCTTGCAGAACATACGGATGCAGCGGGCACAAGTCCAGTTCGTGACGACCTAATGTCGCTGGGTAGGCGTAACATGAGTCCATTTAGGCTGAACATTGTGAATGCTGGTGGGGGATCGACAAACTTGAGTAGATTGCGGGGTATACGAAAGCTGGATTGACTGCGTATATAGATGAAGAGGGGCGAGCAAGAATGGCGTATGCGAGATGCTAGAGAGGTGCAGCGCACACAGAATAGGGAATCATAGAGTAGGCGGATGTCCGAGTAACCAGTAAAATCCAGTGCGCATCTTCAGGGTTGACGTATACTCGCCCAAGGCAAGGTGGATGGTCATACAATATGTCAAACAGACAAGTTGCCTGGGACAGATAGTTATAAAAACATGTTGACTGCCCAGACAGCACTCGGCATAGCGCTCGAGGACTACAAGCCCCCGTCAAGGACACCCCTCACGTCATCCACCTGAGCAAGATCTGCGAGGAACGGACACAAATCGGTCAGTTCGGTGTCATGAGGATCGTTGAACCATGACGACACCGGGACAGCATTGTTTGGATGGAAGATGTAGGAGGCTGGTGAATTGTCGATGATAATGGTATCAGAAATGGGTCTACCCAGTTGTGAAAGGTCCTGTAGATGGTCCATTGATAATTGATTTAAAAATGTGTATCCTCTACTCACCTTGACATAGTTTCCTCGGTGATTGTAACAGCTCTCCCGGAATAATCGATGCGACACAACGTGGTGGATATCAAGTTTGTCCAGAACAGGATCCGCGTACTAACCAAAACCATGAATTAGTCGAGGTTCGCGGAATGCGAAACTGCACCAACCTTGCTCAGACTCGCCGTGAAGACCACGACTTCATATATTTCGCCCATTCGTTTTAGGAAATTGTCGACGCCAGGGCGTTTGATGACGTATACATTATGCCAATGGTATTCGATCTCAACAGGGACGACATAGTCCGCTTGTTGTATCGACTGCGGCGATTGTTTACAACAAGAAATTAGAGAGAAACGAATTGCATACCTTGAAACTGCTGTGCACCAAGGTCTCGTCGAGATCAAGCACAAGGCATTTTCTGCCTACATGCTTAGGTGAAATGAGGGGTAAAAGTGGTCGCGGAGTGCCGTCCTAAAAAAAATCAAATCTTGTTAGCAATACTGATAAATATGACCCATTCTGACAGGTGCTCACAGGGCCTGTTGGTATTCCCGCACCACCATTCATTATAAGTCGCTCCTCTTCATCCTCGATATCGTCAATCGGGCCGCCATCATCCAGCTCCTCGTCCTCGGTGAAACTCGTGGATCCGTCACTTTCATCGCCCGATTCTCGAGCGCGAGAGTGCTCATGCATGATTTCATCGCCCGTAGAACCTGGTGGTTGCACTGCGCCCGATGTCATACCTTCTGTCTCATCTTGAGGAAGCAACGAACGCGTCGGAGTGGGTGGTATGACAATGTCCTGCTCACTTGGCTCTTCAACCTGGGTAGGGACAATAAGCGGTTGCAGCGACAAGGCGGCTTGTTGTGGCACTGAGACAGCCTCTTCCGGGGTGGATTGTGCGGGCACCTCCGTCGGGGCGCTAGACAGTGGCTCTTGGACAGGTGGCGGCGTCGGCGGCAAGTCTTTGCCTTCCTTCGCGGCAGGCTTCTCCCTGTGCATGGGCAAACTGCCTTCCGACGTCGGCAGAGGTGACACGATCTTAGACTCGTCAAAATGGTCGCTCTGAGACGAGCCAACACAAGGGACGAGAACGTGCATGAATTTCACAAAAAACGACCGGCGGGCGCGTTTAGTTTTGGAACGCGCAGTAGATGGTTGCTCCGCGGTGCTGGATGCCGTATGCGCCCCTTCGGAGACGGATTTGACGTCCTTGCGATGAAAGGATTGGGCGCGCGTACCCAGCGTAGTGTCCAGAGAACCTTTATCCTTGTCGTTCTCTTTATATTTGTCGACGGCATCTGTGCTGTCTTTCCCAAGAGACGTGCTGGTAGTTGCTGTATGAGACGTCTCTGCATGAGTAGCCTGTGCAGATGGGACTAGAGTATTGGGGGCCTGTCCTGTGCCGACGGTACCGTCAGATCTCGGAACATCCCCTGGAGCAGCGACGGAGCCATTGGCGGTGGCGCTTGGAGATGTTTTGAGAGTATTTGGGTCGTTAGATGTCTCCGTTTTCTCGTTACTACTTTGGTATTGCGTCCCCTCTGCAGGCTGTGACACGGTTAGGCCCCCCTCGACTGCTTGCCTCCCCTTAGGATTCTTCAGAGACAGGAAATGAGTATGAATGCGATGATAAGAGGGGGAGTGGTCTACTACCTGGGTACTTGGGTGGTCTAGCGAGTTAGCTGCGGCCATAGGAGCGGGCACTGCAGAGGGTACGTGCATATGAGGAGAGAGCGGACGACAACAACATCCAAGACAGGTCGGCGCGTTGCATCGTGTTTGCGTGTGAACATTCATTGCCTTTAATGGGATGCGCGCGCCTCGACGCCTGCTTCTCTCGCCTGCCTTTCCCAGCCGTTGCAGGGCAAGGCCGCATTGAAATCGCAGTTGGATAAATGAGCCACTTTGTCGCTGGGGGACCAACAGGACAGGTCGGACGCTGAGGTTTGTGCGTGGTAGCTCGGTAAACGATTGTTGACCGCAGCTTCTACGGGTGCTCACGGCATATAGTATCACCAATGCATATTGAAGTAGCCTTTTACCGGCGAGTGTGATTATATAAGCAAGGCCGACGTGCCGGCAGGCCGTGGCCGTGAGAACAAACTCCGCCACGCGAGGATTCTTACTAATACAGACCAACCACCTCGACGTCCGTCGATTGCCCATGTTAGGACACGCCCCGTATCATCCTCAGCAGCCTCCGCCTCCGCCGACCCAATCTCCCCAGACGGCGGCACCGACAACGATAAATCCTGCAGACTCAAATGCCATCAACCCCCAGCCCCCTCCTCAACAGCAGCCCCCCGCCGCTTTTCAATCCGTCCTCCGCTTACGCGACGACCCGCCCCCCGTAACAAATCCCGCGCCCTCTCGCTCCCGAAAGCGCAAGACTCCTCCATCTGCACATCCCGACTCCCAGCAACCGACCCACGGCCCTCCACCACCCCCAGGTCCGCCCATCCCGCCCCCGGGCATGCATCATCCTCCAGGCATGCTCCTACCCCCGCCTCACGCCCTCGTTCCCCCACCACATCTTGGAGGCCCCCCTATCCCCCATGGGTACCAGTACCCCCCTACAGACTACTCTCCTGGCGGGATGCCACCCCCGCCACCTCCACTACCCCTTCAGGATGGCCAGTCGTCCCCGGGCGGGTCGTCCGGCAGAACGCTGAGCCAAAGTAAACGCGCAGAACAAAACAGAAAGGCTCAGCGTGCCTTTCGCGAGCGGCGGGACCAGTCAGTGTCTCTTTTCTCCGTTCATCTCTCGACGCGCGTTGATCCCTGTGCCAGGCATGTCAAGGCCCTCGAGTCGCGTTCACAGCTGCTGGACGCGGCGCTCGCATCCGCGGACGAGGCGAATCGCCGCTGGGAGGAGTGTCGGGCGCTCGTAGACAGCCTCCGCGTCGAGAATGGGACCGCGCGAGGGCATATGGCCGTCTTGCAGAGAGATAACGCGGCATTGCGAGCTGCGCTTGCAGGTACAGGGATAGATGTCGACTCTGTATTGGCCTCGGCGGCGACGGCCAATCCGGATCCGTCTCTGATAGAGGAAGGGCAAAACGGTGTCCAGCATAATGGGGGCAACGTTGGTGAGCCAGGCGGGGAGGGAAGGGAATCATGATTGTCTGTATTTTGCATCTTGGGCCCTGTCACATTTAGTTTTCTCGAAATCTCGAACTCTGCCTGAGGAATAATGTTGGTTTGTTCTGCGCACCATACATACATGCTTGATGCGAACGGATGATTACCACATCGTCTGTGATCCGTCGACTCATCATATACTTGTCCGACGCGCGCCTGGCTGTAGACCTTCTTGTTAGGCGACGTCGGTGTTGCTGGTGCAGGGCTTGCCACATCGCACTTGGCTACTCACTTTGAGAGCATTTTGGACAAATGGCGAGTAAAAATGAAAGTCTGCGACCTCGCGGAAACAAAAGAGGTGAGTCTCTGATTTATTTATTGCGTCTGCTGCTGCAACGAGCACCAGGTCCTCCCGCCCTTGTTAAATACTACCTCGTATTGTACAACGTGTTTTCTGCAATAGGATGGTCCTACGTCCTCGTTCTGACTGTCGCACACCTGTCTGGCCTCGACGAATCCTCGCGGACACCGCCTGCCTCGAGCCTCTCCTCACTGCTGGCGCAATACCTCCCCATTATCCCCCGCCTCACCGGCGCGACGCACCACCTTGAACGGCACGTCTCAGCCTCCCTGATCCCACTCTTCCGTCGCGCGTGCACGTCCTATGCTGCTGTTGGGCCCCAGACGGCGGTCGTACAGACCTTTGCAGTCCTGGAAGTCCTGCACTCGCTGTTCGGATGGGTGAGGAGTCCCCTGGGAACGACCATGGCTCAGGTAGCGAGCAGGCTGTACCTGGTTTGGGGCATCACGGCTTTGTTCCCTCAGGTGTGTCCCAGCCTGTCCCACCTTGTGAATCCGTCTGAATCCATCGTGTGTCTAGACTCGCTTCCACCCCCTCTATGCATCCATGGTGTTCTCGTGGTCCGTCACTGAGGTCGTCCGCTACACATTTTACGCGTTCTCGCTCCTTGGGTCCGAGCCGCATGTGTTGCTATGGCTGCGCTACACTCTCTTCTACATCTTGTATCCCACAGGTGCAGGCTCCGAAGCAGGGCTCATCTACGCGTCTCTTCCGTCCATGCCTCCATCGATACCGTTTCTGTCTTCCGACTGGTACGGCTGGGTTCTCCCCCTCTCGTGGCCGCTCTCGACGCCAAGGTGGATAGAAACGCTGCACGACGACCTGCGCTGCATCATGTTCATGGTTTGGTGGGTCGGTGAGTGCCGATGTCCATGCGTCAACAAAGCGCTTTTTTGAATTCCCCGGATTTTTTCCAGGGTTGTACGTGTTGTACACGTACATGATCAAGCAGCGGCGAAAGGTCCTGGGTGCAGGAGCAGGACGGCGGCTTGGAGGAAAGTCCAAGACACAATAACCTCGGGCTGTTCTGTACCCTGTGGTGTTCTCTATCCTATAAAATGCACACCGAAGGTTGGGTGTTCTCTTGCTTCTCCACGCACCATCGGTTTTGCCCCTTCGCGGGGGTCTGACATCAACATCGCAAACGATCCGGAAATTAGAGTGTCGTATACAGCCGTCCGTTCGATGCGAGTGATTGAAATGACCTCGATAGACTTCACGACCTACAACCACGATGTCGGTCAGCATTAGCCACCAGGTAGCCGCCGTGTCCCATGCTGGATGGGACACCAGTGGTAGGCTGTCGTGAAATTTATCTGATGGATCAGCAGTCTAAAGTCTATCGGCGGAACGAACAACGCCAGGTCGAAATTATATTTGGAAAAGCCTCTTGTTTGGCGACTTGAGTACTTGAGTACTTGAGTGACTGTCTCATTGCGTCGCACGCTGACCTTGTGCTTGTGATCAGACGTGTTGTTGAATTGCCCCCACGCGATTAGTATCGCAAGGGAGGTGAGTGGAACTCATTTGGTCTGGCGTCTTTGAGCAGAGTGACTTGATCCTTGCAGCAAACCTTACAAGAGCCCACAATATCGCCGCAACTGGAACCTACGGGCATTTCCTGCCTTGCGGATATCGGCGTGCACTCCATCTGGCGCTGACTCTTGGTGTTAGGCATGTGGAGAAGCTTGGAGATGAGTTCGAATGCGTTGTGTGCAGAGGCCACTGGCAGCGCATGTAGTCCACGTTGTTGGGTCCATCGTGCGGGCGCCGAGCTAGTTGTGAGCCTTTGTCGCACAGCGTGACCAAGCATTCATGCTGCACGTCTGAATCAGCCCCGGTAAGTTGCTGATTTCCTTTGCCCATAAGCATACGTGCGTTTATCGACTGGCTGAGTAACCTATTCTATTTCCCGCTTATGTACCAACAGTGATACTAGCGTACAGATGTGTTGGGTAGACAGCATGTGAGGGTGGCAAAGCCGAAATCAACAAAAAGTGCGCACACATATAGAATGATGACGCGAGGCAGACACGGTGGAAGCTTACGGGGAGTCTTGGTTATTGATACTCGGTGCGAACCCTACACGATTCCCTGGGTAATCATAAACAGAATACCCTGAAAGGAAGTTTGCCGGGAATGAGCTGGCCCCATCTCGAACAAAATTCACTTACACGACTTCAAGAATTCGTCGCCTGTGGGTCAACTTAGCCATGCATGATTGCCAACTGAAGCGCGCGGAGACAGACCAATAATCGCAAGATCGGGCGGGAATCCCTTCCCCAGCCCTAATATGCCGCCCACGCAGTCTCTGCGTGTCACAATTTTCCTTGTTCAGCGACAGATCGCGGGGATGGAACGAAACTACTGACGAAGAATTATCCGACGTGCGTCCAAGGTTATAATCCCGAGTGGTTATTGGGAAGGACTGGCCACTGAAGGAGAGCGACACGGCAAGAGAGGTAGCGCACGGAAACGTGTAGAAACCTATAAGCGGTCGACATACTGCATCCCCGGGAGGTCAAATAGTAGATACCTGAACCATATTGCTCAGCCATACTGGATCCAGGGATCTGTATGTGGTCTCATAAGAGTCTCTGAGAAAAGCAAGCGCGCTCCGAGGCTCACAAGGGAATAAAACTGCGCAGCGACGTCATCTGGAACGTATATCAGCGTAGTTCCGGTATCAATTGCCTACGCGACGACAGCATCTCAGTATTGTCGGGGAAATACAAACAGGCTTGACTGACCGCTGTCAGATTGACATCGAGGGGGTGATTACAGCCCGACGATATCCCGTCTAACCGAATGGTCCAGTATGTCTTGTTAAACAACAGCTTGTGAGTGAAAACATGATATGTGCTTCTAGCCAGCTTACTCGGGATATCACTGGGTGCCAGGTAATAGGGCCGATCGCTTTCGTGGTATCAAAGCAGCCGAAACACACCTACCTTCTATGTTAACTCTCAGACTTGAAGTGACATATTGGTGCGCACCTCGGACCCTGTGGATTGACCGCGAGCTAGATGTATTGCGAAGGCCCCGGCGGTGACTTGCTTCGAAACCATCAAATTCTCGAAGAAAGTAGGTCTCTTGGACTGCGCAATGCTCCCGAATGCAAGCCCCAATAGCCCGTCAGACGGCTCATCGAAGAAATCGCTGGACTCAGCGCGCACAGCGCCGAACACCTGCTGGGGGGCTGTGAGCGCGCCCACAGCGACGCTGTCCTGGGCGAGCGTCCCCGACACCTTGCCAGCGCCCTGTGCGTCCGCATATAAGAGTGAGCGACAGACATGCCCGTCAAATCACGGGTAGAATCGCACATATTGCACAGAGAATGTCTGCCCCAGATTCTGATAGGAGGAGCTCTGCGCGGCATGGAACGAGTCGCCCGCGCACGAGCGGCAGTTCACCGGCACCCAGAGGTCCGCAGAGCCCGTGTCGATGTCGACTGTCAGCGTCTGTTTCTGCGAGCCGAACGCGAGCGCGCCATAATAGAGGATGTCGAGCCCCCCCGCGACGTCGTCCGTGAGCGACTGCTGCGCCGTCCCGGGTACGCTGATAATCCCTGTCGTCCCTGGGCCGCTTCCATCCATGCTCTCAGCGGTGATCTGCACCGTGCCCAGACTCTGGTTAACATTCGGTGCGGTTGAGTTCGTGCTATTCATCACGCCAAGGAGAGGATGCGTGAATGGGTAGTACCCAGCCTCAGGGTGGGTGTCAGGGTTGAGACCGACGCCGGAAAGGATTTGAACGGCATCTGCGTACTTGGCCAGGACATTATTGAGGTCATCGATCTACGCCCGCCGGTCATTGCGAGGGATGAGCGTCTGAAGGAAGGGTCTACTCACGGCAGATGTTTTGTCGAATATGCGTTGAGCATAGCTCTGAGCCGCCGGAGATTTGCCAGACGAACGTCTGATTTTGGCGATGAAAGCTTTCCCCCCAGAATTTGAACCTTCCAGAGGATGGGAGAGGGATCCCGAAGCGAGAAGCCAGACAAGGGAGAGGGCCAGACGGACACCCATCAGAGCAGAGGAAAATGAGATGCACCAGGCATCCCAAGGAAGGAGTACGGGAAGACAGCGAGCCTCCGGGAACATAGGCCCAGAAATTCAGTGAATTTGAGCGCATAGATGAGGCTGGCGAGGCTGGTCCCGCCTAGTGTGCGTTTGGCGTCCGACCGACGACTGAAGTTAGGCCTTGGCGTCGCAATCTGCGGTCGACACGCTACACGTGATCGCGATTGCGCTTCAGTTTCTCCTCATTGATTGTCATCGTCTTTCTGCAGCGCCGCACACAACCTTTTAGGGATCAGAAGGACCTCCGTACATTCGACTTGATGAAAATTGAAGACCGTTCCAAGTATGCACAACGCTCGCTATTCCACGCCAATTCACGAACCCCGCATCCATTCCTCCGTGGCATCTCTGGCTGCACTGAAACAACCAGCCCATTGCTATCGATTACTGTGACCACGTTAATCAGCAAATGTGATGGCCCAACGATGAAGTAAATGCAATATATTTGAGATGAAGCACAATGTTCTGTCATAAGTACAATCGAGACTTCAGACTTCGGATACGAGATCCCGCTTACGCAGTAGAAATACCACCGCCATGTCGCTAACAAATGCGCAAAGGCACCAAACTTTAGGAAAGCAGGGGAACATAATTGAAGGACTCCTTTCGGGGTTCTGGTACGTCCGCGTCATCCCTCCCGCACCCAAGCAGAGGCCGAAACATGATGCACAAGTCCGTCGAGTGTTCCAACAATCCGTTCCTAGCTACGACGCAACATCCTGCAAGCCGACGTTATAAATGGGAGATCGCGTCTGCGGCCGTCCCTCAACTTCATATTCGATCAAAAAGAATGCCTTCATATTTGATCACTGGTGCTGGGCGTGGCATTGGCCTCGGCCTGGTTAAAGCGATCGTGAGTGTGTTATGCTCGTGAAGACTTACGCAGCTCACAACCTCAGCCGACGACGCCTAGCTCGAAAAGCCGGACACCTTCGTGATCGCTGCAGCACGGAAGCCCGAGAATTCAAAGGAGCTCCAGGACCTGCTCGCCAAATATGGGGCAGCCCGGTTCGCGACGGTGGTCTTGGACAAAGCCAACCAGGCGAACATCCTTGAAGCCGCGCGGACTGCAGCGGAGCTCCTCCCGAACGGTCTGGACTACCTGATCAATAACGGGGCGGCAAATGAGCAGCCCCACAAGAGCTTTGACGAGATGTGAGCCAGCGCCTCGGTTATTCTGGCTGTGTCTGCTAAGAAGGCGATCGGACTGGGCAGCGACCGGGACGTCTTCGCGCACGAGCTGCTGGTCAACACGATTGCGCCGCTGGAGATCATACGAGCGTTCCTGCCACTGTTGCGCAAGGGGACAGAAAAGAAGATTATGTTGATGATCTCGGTGCTGGCGTCGATCGAATATGCACCGGTGTTGGATGTGGCGTGTGTGTCGTATTCGGTGACGAAGGCGGGGTTGAGCATGTGAGTCTGCAGTGAGCGTGAGAGGGAGTATACCGCTGAGACGGCAGATGACCAGGCTCGCACGGAAATGGGCGCCAACATTGAGCGAGGAAGGGATTGCGATAGTACTGATGAACCCTGGTACGTTTGGAGTGGACGTATGGTCTATATGACATGCGCTGACGGCGATTGGCCAGGTTGGGTGGACACGGAGCTGGGACACACGATGGATGACTACATTGAGTCGCACCGTGACATGTATCCCGACGAGAATCCGATCCCGGTGGAGGAGAGTGTGGCAGGCTGCCTGAAAGTGATGATGGAGGTCAAGTGCGACAAGGCCATTAAAGCTTGGACGTACAAGGGCCAGATATTGCCGTGGTAGGCGTGTAATATAAGAAGTGCTGTCTGCTCGTGAGATTGGACGGTGGTCAGCTGCTGTGGCAGTCTGTGAACGGCTGGAGGAAATGCCTTTGCTCTTGTAGGTCCGTGAGGAGTGAGAGAGAATGTGCGCCTATCTGAGGGATCTGGAGGAGCGCTAGCCGAGGATAGGCCGGGGGGTGGTCAGGCTGCCATTCAAGCTGCTGCCCCCGTGGTCGTTCCTGCTGCCTCCTTCCAGTCCGTCTGCCGTTGCTGCTGCCTCCGTGGTCGGTCTGTCCTCTCACGTCTCCGGCGACGACACTCACGGCGACGACGGCAAGTGCTGCACCCATGTGGATTTCACGCCCTGACCCAACTTCGATCGAGACAGCTGCCTGCACCCAGCATGTCAGCCGTCCCCCGGGTCTCCCCCATTCGCTCCTCGTCCCTGCTTCTCGTCCTCGCCCCTTGCTGTCTATTTTTTCTCGCCGCTTTTCTCTACGTCCGCCCGTATATAGCCGCCCCCCCATCTCCGTACCGCGCCCTCAGCGACCACCATGCGTACTGCTTATCCCCTCCTCTCTCTCCTCTTTGTCCTCATCCCCGCTGTCAGGTCCCAGTTCACCATCGCAGACACTTACATCGGCCAAGACTTCTTCAACACATGGACCTGGCAGGACATAGACGACCCCACGAACGGCCGTGTCAACTACACCGACCAGGCCTTTGCCCGCGCCACTAACCTGTCTTATGGTCAGTCTCCCGGTTCCGCACCCATGTCGGAATGTTCACCCTCACCCGACGCGTCCCTCGCCTCCACCAGCGACGTCGACAAAATTCTTCATGCGCGCAGACGACCAGAATGTCGTCCCCTCAAATGCACGCGGAAGAAACAGCGTCCGCATCCTGTCCAACAAGGCCTACTCGGATTCTCTCACCGTGCTCGACATTCAGCACATGCCCGAGGGTTGCAGCACATGGCCTGCGTTTTGGTCCCTCAGCCAGACAGGCCCGTGGCCAGCTGGTGGAGAAATCGATATCATAGAAGGCGAGTCCCGCTTTCATACCCCACGTCTTGCGTCAAACACCTCACGGTGTCGCACTGCAGCCATATATGCGCCGTAAACTGACGTCCCCTCGCCCTCCCTGCACACTCATACAGGTGTGAACATGGACACCTCAAATCTCATATCCCTGCACACCTCCCCCAACTGCACCGTGCCCGAGGAGCGCATCGAGACCGGGTCCGTCCCTCGCTCCCTCTCCCACTGCCGCTCCGTCCTCACCCCTCCCTAGCACGGTTGACTCCACCAACTGCGACGCAGACGTGAACTACAACCAGGGCTGCGGCGTCTCCGGCCCCGTAGGCTCGTACGGCGCACCACTCAATGCCGGCGGCGGCGGCTGGTTCGTCATGGAGCGCACGCGCGCCACCGGCATCCGCGTCTGGTTCTGGCCGCGCAACGCGACGGACGTCCCGCCTGCCGTGCTCTTCGCCGAGCCGTTCATCCTCCCCGACCTGACCTGGCCCACGCCCACCGCGTACTTCCCCATGGGCGCCGACTGCAACTACGAGACGCACTTCAACGCGCACCAGTTCGTGTTTGACCTTACGTTTTGCGTGAGTACCGTTCCGCGCTGTGCGTCGTAGAGCGGAGCTGACTGGCCGGACGGCGTACAGGGTGACTGGGCGGGCACGGATTACACCACCACTGGGTGCAGCGGATCCTGTACCGATTGTAAGGTTCCACCTCGCGTGTCCGGCGTCGCGTGCTCACACGCCTTTCATTTGTACCAGTCGTTGACAACAATCCAGAAGCATTTACAGAGGCGTACTGGGAGGTCAATTCGCTTCGTATGTATACCATCCTCGCGTGATACCACGACCGCTCGTCACTTGTAGCTTTCATCCGTTCGACATTGGGATCTCATGTATCAGTACCACATACATCACTGGCTTTACTATTAGATGACTGTTTTCATTGTGATGATAGAGTTCAGGATCGATCAAGGAGTGCATCGTGCATGGGTATCACATCACTATGCAGGATCGACGGGATTTGCATCGAGACATGTGGGGGCGCGTAGCACTGAGAAATCCTTGCTGCCACAGCAATATAGATCGATGTTAGATGAATGTAATGTACTACAGCCTCTATCAGACGCGGTCCGGACGCCCCATGTCCTCCGCATCTTTCTCCGCACCATCCGTGCCCTCCAAGAACACACGACGTTTGGCCCGCACGGTATTCGCAGCCAGAGTCGAGGTCCGCCCCGAGCGGCGCTCCACTGGCTCCTGCGACCCGCCCGACTGGATGAACACCTTCATGCGCTCCGACAGCTCGTACCCGCAGTGCTCGAGCTCCTCCACCGCGAGCTTGTACCGCACATCGCCGACCTGCACGCACTTGCGCACGATCGCCTCGTACGCCGCGAGCGGCGGCACGAGGCCCTCGGCCTTCATCTCCTCGAGATAGAAGAACGCGTCCTCGTAGTTCGCCTGCGTCAGGCAGAGCACGATCAGCCGCTCGTACGTGCGCACGTCGGGCTTGACCGCCGCCTCCTTCATCTCCGACAGCAGCCGGTCGCCGAGCTGGCGGTGTTGCGTCGCGATGCACCCCGCGAGGAGCAGGTTGAACGTGTCGACGTTCGGCGCGACGCCGAGGCTCGCGGACGCCTTGTAGCACCCGATGGCGCGCTGCAGGTCGCCGAGCGCGATCGACGCCTGGATGACGACGTTCAGCGCCGTCACGTCGACGGTGTTGCCCTCCTGCTTCAACGTCTCCAGGTGCACCCACGCCTCGTCGATGGCGTCCACGTTGCCGCCGATCGCCTTGTAGATGGGGAACGCCGTTTCCGCGACGGGCGCGATGTCGTGGCTGCGGATCAAGTCGAGCATGGCGAGCGCCTCTTTGATCCTGTTTTCGCTGCAGAGCGCCTCGACGACGGGCGCGAAGTGGAACTCTTGCCAGGAGGTCCCGATGCGCTTCAGGACCTGCAGGACGTCGAGAGCCAGCGCAGACAAGCCGTGGCGCCCGGCTGTATGCAGCACCTGTATGCAGCACCCCTCGTCCGGCGTGATGTTCAGCTCGTGCACAACCTTTTGCCACGTCCGAAGAACGCCTTCGCTCTGTAGGACGGTAAGCGATCAGAGCGCGAGCGCGGAACGGCTACTCACGAAAAACGCATCGGAACATGAGATCAGACATTCGGTCCACACCTCGCCCTCCAGTGGGCGCACGGACGCCGACTCGAATGCTTCTGCCAGGTCTAGCGCAAGCCGAGCGTACCCAAGTCTGCTGGCGGTTGATATAATGCTACTGGCTGATTTTAGAGTGGGAGATACTCTCCGTTGGCCCATCTCGGCTAGACACTGTAGCGCGAGCTCGATATGGTCGGCCTGGGCATACCGAACGATAATGTATTCGTAGGTCTGCTCGTTCGGCTCGATGCCATATTGTCTCATCGTGTCGATTAAGTCCCACATTTGCCCCGTCTCAAAGTAGCGCATGGCCTGTGTGCACGCGTTATGAGTGAGCAGTCGAACGGCGCGCATACAGCGCGTAAGAGACTTCACCTCACTTGAAGCATTAGATGGAACAGGCGGCGATTCGGCTGCAGGCCCATGGCGAGCATGTCCTCAAACGCCGCCTTCGCCTCCAGCTGGTGTCCTCCCTGAGCACAGGCCTCTAGGATATAGCTGTATGTAGTAATATCCGGCTTGACACCTTCATCCTTCATCACTTTGCATAGTCGCAGGACCTCGTATGTCTGCTTGCGTGCGATGAACTTCCCCAGCTCGAGGTTGTAGCGCGCGACAGCGGCAATCCCACCATTTCCTCGAAAGCGGGGGTCGGACTGATACGTCCAGGGAACATGCCGCAAGCCTTGCGTGTTTTCTGTGCGGTCTCCGCCAAAGAGGCCCGATGCTACTGCAGATGAGGCGGCTCGCCGCTGCTGGCGCGGAAGAGATTCTGCGCATGTGCACACCCGGTGAGTGACCTGGACACGGTGAACAACGCGTCTTGCAACGTACTGCGTGTGCGGAGGACAGCTCCCCGCGAGCTGCCACACTCCGAGACCACATGGGATGCTCTGCTGTTCGCTGTCTTCAGTGCATTTCGGGATGAGGAGGCAAGCATGTCCGCCAGCAAGAGGCAAAATGCCAGGCTTCGTCGGAGGACTCCGTCGTTACAGTCTGAGCTGCAATTGGACGGCGCTGACTCTGAGCGGAGATGCAATATATGCCAGGTCTGGCAACTATTCGCTTCGGAGCTCGAATATCTGGCCTAGACGGGCCAGAAGCCAGACGCATGAGTCTACTCTCGTTGTCTACACCCACGACCAGTAGTTGCGCTGCGCGCGATCCCTCAGGTTGGTCTGCCACAGTCGCGACCGGACGCGTTTGCCTCTTCACCTCTTCTTGAATACCCCACACCATGGTACGTGTCGCGCATCTCATGTTCTACGCCCATTCTCAGCGTTATTAGTTTTATTCCGAAGCGATCTTGTCTCGCCGCGGGCCGCTCGCAAAAGTATGGCTCGCGGCGCACATGGAGCGGAAATTGTCCAAGACACAGACTTTACAGACAGATATCGAACAATCAGTTGGTGAGGGCATATCATCTGCAAGATCATCGCGAGTTTTAATGGCGGCCATCCGTCAGATGCTATTATGGGTCAAGAGGTTGAGGTGATGGCACTCCGTCTTAGCGGCCAGCTGCTCCTTGGTGTCGTACGAATATACAGCCGGAAAGCAAAGTACCTCCTGGATGACTGTAACGAAGCATTGCTAAAGATAAAGATGGTAAGCTATACGGCTTCATAGAGGTTGATTTATCCGACCATTCGACGCACTCAGGCCTTCCGCCCTGGAGTTGTGGATATGACTGAGGATCAGCTCGCCGTCAACCGCAACGCCATTACCCTCCAGGGGAACAATCTTGACCTCGATGCGCTCCTGCCTGATATCAACTGGTGAGCCTATGCGCATGATCCGGTCTTACCCCCTAACCCTGCCCACTCTAGGGACATGGACTTTGAGGAAAGACCTGTGCGACCAGGAGGGCAACACATTGCTAGAGCCGCGGATATCACACTCGCTACTGCGAATGACTACCAATTTGACTTCGACGACCCTGGCTATGGCTTCGATCTGGGGCCTTCAGATGGCATAGGTTCACAAGATTATGCTCCGCTTGGTATCGACTTTGGTGAAGGGCCTGTAAGCGTCCACGAGGAAGAATCCCGTGTCGAAGATGACACCATGAGCATTGAAGTTGGACGAGATGCTGCCGCGCCAAGAAGCATTAGAGAGTCGCTGGGTTCGCATCTCCTAGGCAGGCCAGGCGGAGACCTGGATGTGGATCTACTTTCGGTTCGCAGCCGGAGTCGGGAGGCCTCGGAGCATCCATTTGGCGGAGACGTCGATATGAACTTTGGCATGGATTTTGGGCCAGATGCGGGTGGCGAGGAGGTAGACCTAGGTATCAGCTTCGAACTAGGGGACCTTGGAAATCTCGGCGAACAGGCACTGACCCCTCAGACGCCTCGTCTCACACCTTCTCGAGCATGTAAGATCTTTCACGTTGTCGCCTGGATTACAATTGACTGGTCTCACAGCCTCACCCCTTACGGAACCTCCGCAGACGCCTCCTCCCGACGTCGAGTTAACACCACGAGTCGACGTCCAGGAAGGCAAAGCTAGGAAACGAAGAGACAGGAAACAGATCATTGATGTCGTTACCGAACTTGCGGATGGTCCTGGCGCGAGAGTGGGCCGCGGCCGCAATGCGGGACTCGGCTCTCAGATGACCCAGGATGTGAGCGGCATTGTCACAGAAAACCAGTATATTCCTCGATCTCCTGTCGTCATGCGTCTCCTTGAGATTCGCGACGACCCGATTGCGCATTTCCTTCCTACCAGGACTACCGCGACTGGCACATTTTTCTGCGCCGCGCCGCCGGGAATGGTGCCTGAGCTAGCAGAGCTTTTTATGCGTCCAGTGCAAAGTCTGGTCCCTCCCAAACGCCGCGCGGAACCGGCGGACAAGCCTTCGAGCAAGAGGCCTAGGTTGGAGGGTAGTGTTGCTGGCGACGACGAGATAGAGCAAGTACGCAGGGCGACCAGTGTTGCGCCGAGCGTCGTTCTAGGAAGCGAAGTCATCGGACGAAGCAGCGTTGCTCCTGACATCGACTTTGGTGACCACACGGGGATCGTCGAAGACTTCCAGCTGCCTGAGTTTGAAATGGCTACTGGGGCGGAGGTGGCACCAGAGCGAGCAAGGTCCAAGTCCCTTGCGCCGTCAGAACTCAGTCGGTTGACAACGCCGCCGCCGGAGGGTGTGCCCATGGAAGATATAGAGGAGTCTTACGCGGATGTGGAGTGCCCTATAGCCGTATTCGACGATCGCGCTACGTCTAGTCAGAGCGGAGAGAGCGCAGCCACTGCCAGTGAAGATGGGAAGGGCTACAGCAAGAACACGGTAAAAGCATTAACGATCGTGCGTAGGGACTTGCAGCCCACTGTAGGTGAAGAGCATGACGAAGAGAAGGTCATGAGCTTCAAGAGGATGTCCGAGAAAGTTCGTGATGTGTCTTTAGATGACTTTCCTGTTCACTCATATCTCTCCAGGCAAGCCGCCGTGCGGCATCTTCCTTCTTCTTCGAACTCCTGGTGCTTGGAACACGAGACTGTGTCAAACTCTCGCAGGCTGGTCCCTTTGAGAATATCGAGGTACGCGCAAAGAACAAGCTTTGGGAACGTCAGAGACATGGATCAGTCGCTCCTTCGGTTGCATCTGCCCTGCGACAAGGCTCCATTGTACCTTCTGTTGTCGCTTCTCCGAGGCGACAGGGGTCAGTTACACCCTCTATCGGCTCTGTGCTTGGGCTATGAGCCTCGCAATGATTGACACGATGTATTTTATGATCTATTCATGACGGAATATCTAGATACACATCTGCACATCCCCCATTCTTGTCGATTTTTCAATTTGCTTATTGTTATGTGTTGGTTTTGTTTTGTGGTGCAAATCCGTCCAGAGACAAAGTCCTACTATTTACTTCCGTAACCGCTGCTCACTGGCGCTCAGATTTATTGTAAAGTATGAAAACCATTGTTATGTACTGCTTGAATGCTTCGTAGCAAGAAAGCATAATTCGTCTGTTGTCTAACGACTTCATCCCCTCACTATAGCGGTGAGAAGGTCTAAAGAGGTTGGGAAGATGGGCACATACGACAGTCTCCACTGCTGGATACTGAACCAGCTGAAGAGCCTTCACCAGGGTGGCCGTAACAGGGACCTTGTAGAAGGTTGGTGCAGTGCCTCTCATCGTGATACCAGGAATCATGTTGCTCTCGAGCAGGCGACATCCAAGGGTCGGGTGAGGTTGTGGGCATAGAAAGCGGCGATTGCTCCAGCAATAAGCTGAGGCTCGGGATCCGAGCCATCCAGCTATTGCTTGTCTTCCTGTACAAGGAGCAGAACATCGCTGCCACCTGCACAAGGCAAACATCTGTCTTAACGTGCTCATTTTCACCGCAGATAAAACGCAGAACTTCTTCCTCGTCATCACAAGCCTCCCTCTTCTAGCATACCCCAGCGCACGAAAGAGATTTACAACAAAATCATTAACAGCAGATTCCTCGTTCGGTGACGGCGTCATTGCGAGATCCAATGTACGGAGGAGGAAATATATATCATCATTCTGAGCATCGTTCGGAGTTTGCGAAGTCAGAACGTCAGGATCAACAGATGGTGCGGGGAGGTTAGGAGACTGGAAGAAGGTGGCGGCGTCTTGGAAGACGACTCTGATGTTGTAGGCTTCAAGGTCCAGTCACTGCCAGACTTGGCAGAACGGGTGATATTGGCCATCGTGCACCAGATTAGCATCAATAGCGGGATCTTGGATGCATCACTTTGTGACAAATCCTACAAGCAAAAAGACTCAGTGCGAACAGGCGTCGACGTTGATCGGGTGGCCTTCGGTCCTTCTTCAAGTAATTTAAATCATTGAAGTTCAACTCGGTCATGTGATCGCAGCTAATGGTACACTCGCGTTCGCGACTTGAAGTTGATTCTGTGACTTGAACTCTTGGTGTCGCGCGTGCAACATAGGAAGTGCGGCACTATGTTTCCAAGAGGCCCACGATTTCCTACAAACAAAGGTTTATCCAGACCCATATCTCACATCTCCCTGCTCACTCGTGGTCTTGACCATAGTACCAGACGTCCCGGGACCGAATGCTTACAATCCCCAGGGTATGTCATATATTTCTGAGCATCGATCCTCTCCACAAACCCTGCAGGACTCAGACCCAGAGTATGATACCTACAAGCGGGGCGCCTTTTTGGAAAAAACAAACCGTTTCTTGAAGGATAAGTCATCAGAAGTTCCTGGTATGTTCCTGTTAGCATATCGCAAACCATGTACAGGACCGACTTCAAGTTAAATAGGCCCTGGTACATACAACACTGACAACAATAGTGCTCATCCAAAGGGTACGTCAGGTACCGTCAAGCCCAACGTTGATCGATATGCCCTACTGCAACGCAAGGTGGAGGAACTTGAGAGAATTCACAACGAAGGCAAGAAAACCGTGAGTAGTCCGTTCGACAGTTTTAACGTCGTTTATAGCATTGTTGGCATAGCATCACCTAGAATCGGAGCGGCTCAAGCTGGAACTTAGCCGCGCACAGCGAACCAACACGGAGCACGTAGAGCGTGCCGACAAGCTCAAGAAACAGAATGACGTTCTTGAGGCTAGACTACAGGATTTGAAGAAATCCAATGGCGTGGAGCAGAACGAACTGCGAGAACTGCGTACCAAGTTGAAAGCCGTTGAGCACGAACGCGCCCAGCTAGCCACAAAGCAAGGTGAGGCAAGCGATATGAAGAAGGCTCTTCAAGTGGCAGAGGCTAAGCGAAGAGATGACCTACGAGAGCGAGACAAGAGGATCGCAGAGTTGGAGAAAGCCTTCAGCTCGGAGAAGAAAAGGCGCGAGATGGCGGAGGCAAAGTTGACAGAAGTGAAGGTCAAAGTCGATGCGGAGAAGCAAGAAATCCGTGCTCTTGCATCCGGGTTGGAATCGGAACTCCATAAAACGCGCACGGAGGCGGTGGACGCGACAGACGCTCTTGAACAGCTGCAA